CAGTGGGGTTGTGCGTGGGCGTGGCACACCCATAATGCAATGCGCAACCGCCAGTGTGCATGTATGATTGACAGGAGCTCCGCCCCATTTTTTGTATGCTTTTTTCGCCCTCCCCCAGGCTCCAGAGGCTTCATAGGAACCTGAGGAGGGTGAAAACAGCCTTCCCCTCCCCCCGGAGGCCCTCTGGAGGCTTCAGGAGCTTCCCTGAAGCCTCAGGAGCACAAAAAACCGGCCCTATGGGCAAACCGGAAGTTCGGGAATGGACTTCCTGTTTGCTTGTAGGGCCGGTTTAAGCCCTCCGTAGCCTTCAGGGGCCTTCCAAAGGCTTCCCTGAAGGCTCTGGAGGACTAAAAATGGCCCTACGAGCAAACCAGAAGTGACTCAGGGAAGCTCCTGAAGCCTCCAGGGGGCCTTCGGGGGGAGGGAAAGGCTGTTTTCGCCCTCTCCAGGCTCCTATAAAGCCTCTGGAACCTGAGGAGGGCGAAAAATGGCTTTAAAAAAGGCTGAGCTCAGCTGGCCAGCGCGCATATGAGCACTGGCCAGCTGACATGGCAACGCCTCGCGTGCCCTGACAAATGGCTCCGCGTGCCACCTGTGGCACGCGTGCCATAGGTTCGCCATCCTGGCCCTAGTTATTTCCCATTTTGACTATTGCAACACGCTGTACATGGGACTGCCCTTGAAGAGCATCCGGAAGCTCCAATTGGTGCAAAATGCAGCGACCCGCATGGTTTTATGCAGATTCCGGAGTAGACATGTACACACCTCTCCTGCCAGAGCTGCATTGGTTGCCGATTTGCTTCCGGGTGCTATTCAAGGTGCTGGTTCTCACCTTTAAAGCCCTTCATGGCTTGGGACCAGGTTATCTGACGGACCATGTCTTGCTGGTCACACCTATCCGACCCATCAGAGCAGGAAGGCAGTGAATGTTGTGGGTCTCATCCCTGAGGGAGATATACTTGGCAGGACCCAGAAAAAGGGCCTTCTCCATAGTGGCTCCCTCTCTCTGGAACATCATTTCCCCAGAGATTAGAATGTCCCCCACTCTAACCCTCTTCCAGAAGGCGCTGAAGACCTGGTTCTGCCAGCGGGCTTGGGGAACCCAGAGTGGGATGGAGCCCATTAAATGGCTCGTGTGATCTGCTGAAGGTGGGGGGAGGAAGAGGGGGGATGATTTTGTTATATTGTACCATATTAATTTATTTGATTCTTTTTGTTAGTTTATATTGTTTTAAATGTGATTTTGTATTCTGAAAGCCGCCCTGAGTCGCCATGGGCGAATAAGTGGCAATATAAATTAAATAAAAACAAACAAATAAATAAATAAATTTTCCTCTGTTTTCTAATGTAGTTTCCCTGCATAACGTAGGTGGACAGAATGATGGATTACTATGAAGCGCTCGGGGTGCCCCGCAATGCCTCTCCAGATGACATAAAAAAGGCGTGAGTTGCATTCTTTCTATTTCTACCAGAGACCATCCACATGCGTGCCAAGATAACACTTTTCACAATCTTGTGCCTAGCGGATTCCATCATAGACAGGAATTTCATGGAATGGGATCCCGCACAGGTATATACTACCCTCTGTGTTGTTATCCACAGGTACAGAAAGAAAGCCCTGCAATGGCACCCAGATAAAAACCCAGATAACAAGGAACATGCTGAGCAGAAGTTTAAGGAGATAGCAGAGGCCTACGAGGTTCTGTCTGACAGTAAGCAAATGCTTTGGCTTTTTTCCCTCATCCCTCAGCCATTTTGACTGTTCTGGTCTCTATCGAAGATACTGACCAAGTAGGTGGGACTATTTACTTACTTATTTGACTTTTATGCTGCCTTTATAGTTTTCATAAATAACTTAAAAGAGCCACCTTACCTATTTCCTCCTCCTATTTTCCCCACAACAACCCTGTAAGTTGGGCTGACAGAGAATTATCTAATCGAGACCTGGTTTTTAGGCTGCTGCCTTAACTACCAGACCAAACTGGCCCTCATTTCTGCAGCATAAGGAGATCTCTTCTTAATGTTAATTTTATCCAGGAAAAGCAAATTAGAAGGGAATACAGCGTGTTCCCACATCCAGTTTGGGGACTTAACAGTTAAATGAAAGAAGCAAGTGTACTGAGGTTTTGAAGGAGAAAAATTCCCCAAGACTCAATTTACGAGTGGAGCACACAAATCTACTTACCATATTTTTCGGAGTATAAGACTCACTGAAGTATAAGATGCACCAAGATTTCCCAGCCCCTAGGAGCACTCTGGAAGCCTCCTAAAGGCTATGCACAGCCATTTTTGCAAAGGGGACTGGGTTTTGGGATGCCAAAAATGCTGTATTCAGTGTATAAGATGCACCCAGATTTCCACCCTATTTTTTTGAGGGAAAAGTGTGTTTTATACTCCGAAAAATACGGTAAGTCAAGTTTATTTGAACAGCACTGGGGACAACCATAGGATTTCCGCTCCCCAAAGGAGGGTACAGACAACTTTAAATAATTGTATAGTAAATGCTGATCAGTAATTATGTCAAATGCCAATCAAAACATGGCTTAGATTTTCTGCTTATAGAGGGATAAGCTTATAGAGGGATAAATGGAGGTCGGCACCAGTTAATTTTTGTAGTTACTTTCTAGTTCCTGTTGCAAGTGCTGATTTAAGATAACTTATGAACCAGGATCTGCAAAGCCTACGCATGCAACCGTTAGAGAGGCTTATTTTCGTTCAGGGACTTTCCTTTGGAGATCTTGGTCCAGGTATTTGTTTTACGCCTTCATATGTGCTCATATTCTAGAACAGTGGTCTCCAACCTTGGCAACTTTAAGACCTGTGGACTTCAACTCCCAGAGTTCCTCAGCCAGCTTTGCTCTGGCCGTTGAAGTCCACAAGTCTTAAAGTTGCCAAGGTTGGAGACCACTGTTCTAGAAGACCTCTGTCTTCAGGGCAAGTTGTTCAAACAAATTTTTAATTTGTTTAAAAATGTAAACAAGTTTTTAAATGGAGTTCTTTTAAGATTAAAATTCCATTTGACCAATTTCTCCCAATTTCATTTCTCAGTTGCACTATGGTTCTAACTTGGGCTGGATGAAATGATGCAAACATTAAGGCAGTATCAATTATCTGAGCACTTTGTGAAAAAAATCACGATTACTTAAAACAACTTGGCTTTTTACTACAGCTAGTCCTCAAGTTAAAGGGACACGGTGGCTCAGTGGCTGTTGCTGAGCCTGTCGATCAGAAAGGTCGGCAGTTCAGCGGTTTGAATCCCTAGTGCCGTGTAACAGAGTGAGCTTCCGTTGCTTGTCCCAGCTTCTGCCAACCTATCAGTTCGAAAGCATGTAAAAATGCAAGTAGAAAAATAGGAACCACTTTGGTGGGAAGGTAACAGGGTTCTGTTCGCCTTTGGCGTTTAGTCATGCCGGCCACATGACCATGGAGACGTCTTCAGACAGTGCTGGCTCTTCGGTTTGGAAATGGAGATGAACACTGCCCTCGAGTCAGGAACAACCAGCATATATGTGAGGGGAACCTTTACCTTTATCTAGTCCTCAAGTTATGACCACAATTGAGGCCAACATTTATGTTGTCAAGTGAGAAATTTATTAAATGAGTTTTGCCCCATTTAGGATTTTTCTTCCTACATTTGATAAATGAATCGCTGCAGTTGTTAAGTTAGTAACACGATTGTTAAGTGAATCAAGTTTCCCCATTAACTTTGCTTGTCGGAGGGTTGCAAATGTTTCACGTGACCTTGGGACATTGCAACTGTCATAAATGTGAGTCAGTTGTCAAGCATCTGAATGTAAATCATGTGACCATGGGATGCTGCAGTGGTCATAAGTGTGAAAAACGGTCATGTCACTTTTTCAGTGCCGTTGTAACTTTGAAACAGTCACTAAGTGAACTGTTTTAAGTTGAGGACTACCTGTATTTCTTGAATGGATATCTGGGCTTTAGCAAGCGCTCAGACCCATTTAATCTCAATAATACTTCTTGTGTTGAAATTGATGCGTTTGACCAATGCTCCTGTTAAAAGAAGAAATGCTTGTTTCAGAGCCACACATTTCTAAAGGGGTAATTATTAATTCAAGTGGTTTCTTCTTTCAGAGGGCAAGCGCGAAGTCTACGACCGATATGGCAAAGAAGGGCTCGTTGGTGCAGGTGAGGATTAGGGTTTTGTTGAACTAACTTGAAGGTAAACTGGGTGCTTCAAGCTGGGTGATTAAAGGAAACATAATAATCTGTACTGCCAAGAAGGGTGGGGACTGATGGGATGAGTGCTCAACAAATGTTGAAAGAAGGAAGTCATCAGCCTCTACTAGTGTACAAAATGTTTCAAATCCAGAATATTTGGAACTCAAAACATTGTGTTTTAAGTTTGAAATGGCTGTTTGGATCTTACTGAAAGGGGACAAATGTTTTTCTGACAATTTTGGGATGCCTATTTCACACACACAGACACACACACACACAGAGGGAGAGAGGAGAGAGGTGGGGAGAGAGAATAGACGTATGACAAACAGTTATTCATGGGCAGATATGTGGAGACAACTGGGGAAAATCTTCAAAGCAGTTGCACACACCTTTCAAATGCCTTGCATAGTGCAGAGATGGGTTGTCAATTTTTCTATTACTGGTTCGGGCATGCTTGCTTGCCGCTTCTGCACCTGCGTCGAAGCATCTGGGCAGATGGGTGGAGCCTCCCGCCACTGCTACTACCAGTTTGCCTGATCTGGGCCGAACCAGGAGCAACCCACCTCTGGCATAGTGATTCTACACAGACCTAGCAAGGTGGAGAACAATTGTCTAATTTGTGTGTGAATTTGAGACTTGAAAAGAGAACATGAGAGGGGTCTTCTTTAGCTGTGGAACAAAGCCATCGGATCTTCTGTGCAAATCCAGCTTTGACTAACTAAAATCTCATTGTGTCCAGGAGGTTGCTCTGATTTATTAGCTCTCCATTTTTTTTGTAAATGGGTTTACCAAAATATTAGGCTTTTGCCTTGTTTTTGGCTTACCAGCTACAAGTCAAGTGTTTTTACAATTTGCCTGGGCCTGAAAAAATGGCTAGCTGCGTTCCACTGCTATGTAGCAAATTTATGAGCCACGGTGTAATTTTCCAATATTTCAGCATCTTTGCTTTCTTACACTTACAATACATATCACAGCTTTGTCACATTTTTTCTTTGCTTTTTAAGCAGACATGTTAATATCGTTTTTCACTTGTCCTAGCTGGTTCTGCTGGTTCCAGGCCTCATCCAGGACCGGAATTCACTTTCACTTTCCGTAGTGCCCATGATGTCTTCCGAGAGTTTTTTGGAGGGCGAGATCCATTTGCTGACTTTTTTGGTAAGTGGCTATTTGTAATATTCAAGCTAGGGGTTTTTTTTCCCCTGGGAGAAGAATGAGAAAGAAAAAGGCTCAGATGTAATTTTCTTTTGATGCAAAACAGCCAGTTCTGAAAGAAGATAAGCGATAGCACTTAGACTTCTATACCGCTTCACAGTGCTTTATAGCCCCTCTCTAAGTGGTTTACAGAGTCAGCATGTTGCCCCCAACAATCTGGGTCCTCATTTTACCTACCTTGGAAGGATGGGAGGCTGAGTCAACCTTGAGCCAAAGAAGATCGAACTCTTGGCATTAAGCTGAATTAGCCTGCAATACCCCTGCACCACCACAGCTCATCAAGAAAAGAAAAAAGTAATTGACTAAGATTAGACCAAAAGCATTGAGAATATTTTTCTTGTTTTCCTTCCTGGAAACTCTAATCATTTAGATTACTTTTTCCTATAATGTGGAGGAATCTTCTCACTCACCTTCACTCCCATAAGTACTGAGCAGTTAATTCCAGGAAACACAGGTTAGACCTGGAGATACAACTTGAGGAGGTTGCTCTGTGGTGGAATATCTTGAGAGCTACGGATGTTTCCACTTCTTTGTTTCATTCCAGATGATCCATTTGCAGACTTACGTGGACCTGTACCCCGGCATCCTGCAGCAGGGCCTTTCTTCTCCCCTTTTCCTGCATCATCGGGTAAGAAAAGCAGAGTTGGAACATAGATAGTCCCCAATGCATGATCATCTATCAAGATTTCCATTGCTAAACAAGTCAGTTGTTAAACGAATGGCATCCAATTTTGTGACCCTTTTTGCCACTGTTGTTAAGTGAATCATTTGACATGACTTCGTACACAGCTTCTCCCACTGATTTTGCTTGTCAGAAGTCAACTGGGAAGATCACAAATGGTGGTCACATGACCATGGGACACTACAACTGTTGTAAATACATGCCAGTCGTCAAGCACCCAAATTTTGATCATGTGACAGCGGGGATGGTACATCAATCATCAGTGCGAGGAGCAGTCATAAGTCACAATTTGAGTGCCATGGTAACTTCAAATGGTCACTCAATGAATGGTTGTAAGTCAAGGATCATTGGTAGTTTCTTCCTCCTTTTTGTCTCACGGGTTTGGCCAATTGTTACTTAATGGCTATGCCATCCCTTGCAAATTATTCTGGTCAGGGGTGGGCTTTGCCCGGTTGCTGGATGGGTGTGGCCATGTTAGGCGTGGCCTGGTCGGCCTCCTGGACCATGGCAGAGGGGTGGAGCATTTTCTCCTTCCCCAGGCTCCAGAGGTTTTCCTCCAACCTCTGGGAGGGCGAAAACTGCCTCCCCCGGGCTCCTGAGGCCCTCTGGAGGCCGGAAACGGGCCTGTTTCTGGCCTTCTGGAACTTCAAGGAGGCCTGTTTTTCCCCCTCCCCAAGCCTCCGTGCAGGCCCTACACTTACCTTGCATCCAAAACGGACCGCATGGAAATTCCTGGGAGGGGTGGGATGGGGCAGGGTGGGGTGGGTGGGGCCAGCCAGGGGTGGGATTTGGAGGTTCTCAGAACTGGCCATAGTGTTCGCTATGGGTTCTCCCGAACCTGGGCAAACCGGTAGCAGCCCACCCTTGATTCTGGTTCTCTCTCTTGTAGAGTTCTTTGCATCTTCACTTGGTCCGGGGCTCAATGCAGGAATGGGCTTCCGCTCCGTCTCCACTTCAACAAGGTTCATCAATGGCAAGCGCATCACTACCAAGAGGTAAGTTTAACTTACTATTTATTTATTTGTCACGTTGGTCACCTATTCTGGACAGTGAATCTCTTTGTGTCTTAGTGTTTGATCTGTTTTGTTCTTTGTTCACCTTTCTGTCAACTTGTAAGTCTTGTAGGACAGATTTGGGATCCTCTTCAAGGATGTTCAGGCCCATTCCTTCACCATGTTTCTGGAGCCTGACCAATTTTTGCTTCATTTCTACTGTTTTATTTTTGCTTCTTCTTAAATGAGCCTCATATTATGTAACTCATAGATGTCAAACTCACGGTGTCACGTAGCTATCATGTGATGTATTATGACTTCCCCCCCTTCGCGGAACGGGTGGGCGTGGCCTGCGCATGATGCATTCAGCTTGCGGGCCGCCAGTTTGACACCCCTGATATAACTCATGCCTTTTCCATAGTGGAGGCTTGTTGCCACCCAGTATAAAAAACCTGCAGTGAGATGCAGACTTGTTCACTCATTCCAGTAAAAAACAACAACAATGTGGTTTGTTTTATTTGGGGCCCAAACAATTTAAGTTTAGGATGCTTTGTGCTCTCAGCCAACCATACTCTACATTTTAAGTAATGATTAAATTGGCAGTTGGTCTTACCTGAACTGCATGTTTAGAAGAAGGCATGGGAGGAGTAATACATGGGTATTAACCCAGCCCTTTCGCCCTGGAGACTGAAGTAAATCTTGAGGCCACACCTCTGTTCCTCCTTCTGACCTCCCAGATTAACCGATGGATCGTAGCAGAGCACCTGGAAGGAAAGGACAGAGACAGCACAAGCACACATCCTTCCTGCCTGGCCCTGCCTGACCACTGAATTAATTCAGGCCCCTGGTGCAGTGCGCCCTAAAAAGTGGGGGGGAAGTGACTCCTCCCACGCCTTCTTCTAAACATGCAGTTCAGGTAAGACCAACTGCCAGTTTCCGAAGTGAGGCGTGGGAGGAGTAACACATGGGACATACCAAAGCTAGATGTCCTAGAGAGGGATCAATGGGCCTGAGCCCCCCGAGAGTCTAGGACTCCCTGCAGAACCCTCCTGCCAAAGGCTGCTTCTGTGGAGGTGTAAGCATCTAGCCGGTAATGCCTAATGAAAGGCGAAGGAGACGACCAGGTGGCAGCTCGGCAGATCTCCTCTATGGGAGCCTGGGTGGCCCAGGCTGCTGAGGTGGCCGCACTGCTGGTGGAGTGTACTGTGATGCCCTCTGGGACCTGAAGTCCCCGTGCCTCGTAGGCCTGTGAGATGGCCGCCCTGATCCACCTGCTAATGGTGGCCGGGGAAACCTTGGCTCCCTGGGTGGATGGCTGAAAGGACACGAAGAGGGCTTCTGAACGCCTAAAGGGCGCCGTGCACATTAGATAGATGCGCAAGGCTCTTCTGATGTCCAACCTGTGCCAAGATCTTTCCCTATCCCTGGAGGGACAGAAGTCCGGCAGAACTATCTCTAAAGCCCTGTGGAAGGGAGAATTGACCTTGGGCATGAACGCGGGGTCCAGTCTGAGGATGACCCGGTTCTCCAGAAAGGTGCAGAAGTCTGCTCTGCTGGAAAGAGCGTTGATCTCGGATACTCTCCTGGCTGAGGTGATGGCAATCAGGAAGACGACCTTAAGGGTCAGGAATTGAAGGGAAACTTCCCGCAAGGGTTCGAATGGTGCCTTCGTCAATGCCTGGAGGACCGTGGGTAGGGTCCCAGGTGGGGAATCGATGGACCACTGGGGGTTTCAGATTCACCGCTCCCTTAAGGAAGCACCTTAGGACCGGATGTTGGGACAAGGGTGGTGCATCCACCACCAGCCCCAGGACCGTGGAGAGAGCAGAGACTTGTCTCCTAAGGGTGCTGGGGGCCAGACCTTTTTCTAGACCTTCCTGTAGGAAGTCCAGAACCTGGGGCACAGAGCCGAAGCTGGGATGATGTCCCTTGCTTGACACCAGTCCGCGAAAGCAACCCAGGAGGCGTTGTAGATGCAAGTGGTGGACTGCCTCCTGGACACCTCGACGGTCCTAATGACCTTTGCGGAAAAATGTGTCCCTCTCAGCTGTTCTCGCTCAATCGCCAGACGGTCAGATGGAGCCACTCCGGATCCGGATGCTCCAGAGATCCCTGGTGCAGGGACACCTCCCCCGGGGGAATCCTCCAGTGCGGAGCTGAGGGCAGCTCCATCAGGTCTGCTAGCCAGGGACGGCGTGGACAGAGGGGGGCTACTAGAATCATCTCTGCTCCCTCTGACACTAACTTCCTCAGGACCCCGGGAATGAGGGGAAGGGAAGGAAAGGCGTAGAGAAGACCTGGTGGCCATCTGCATCGAAGGGCGTCCGTGTCCATGGCTCCCTTGGAAGGGAATCTCGATACAAATCTCGGCAGCTGGGTGTTTGCTGGGGTTGCGAGGAGATCCATCGTCGGGTGCCTGAACCTATCGCATATCTGCAGGAAGTTGCTGGGATGGAGCTGCCACTCTCCGTTGTCGACCGTCTCCCTGCTGAGCCAATCCGCTTGCTGGTTCTCTGTCCCGGAGATGTGTTCCGCTCTGATGGACTGGAGATGCCTCTCTGCCCAGTTCCCCAATCGGAGGGCCTTGTCGCGAAGGGCCTTGGCTGTTCACATGGGCCTTGGCTGCCACGTTGTCCGTCAGGATCAGGACATGATGACCGGTCACCGTGGTCTTGAAGTGA